TACAGATCCTCCATTGTTGTACAAAAACTACTCGACAAAGATTTATGACATACTGGGAAAATAGTCACAGAAAAGGGACCAGTTTACAATCGTTTCATTTTTCATTTTCTAGAACGGTTTAATGCTAAAGATGTGTTGAAATTTGAAAAAGGGCTGTACTCTCTTCTGTCATAAACCTTAACATTTATTCTTGTTTTTCATTTAGAATTTTTGCCTTTATGGTCAGTTCCAGTCTCTTGTCAACTCTCCTCTAGTAAAGACGTGCCTTCCTCGTGTTAATAAATAATAGTCTATCGAGATATTAAACGGCTTCTTAAAAATTATTTATTCACTTGCACCCATATTCCAATAATGTAATATAGTTTTACCATCATTTTTGAGGTCGGGTTGAGCAGTGCTGATCAGTGATACTCCTTTCTTATCTGAAGACATAAAAGCAATTCAATGTTCACGATAGAGTTTCACTGAATTTAATTAAAATACTTACGGTAATCATGGCAAATGAGCTCAGCGCAGCATGCATTCTCATGGGGAATTCTTGTTGTGCAACCAGATGGCAGTGGATTTGGTATACGTGGACAGACGCGTAAACGGCATCTTAGGGAGCCTTGGTAACAGTAACAGTGGAGACAGGGCTCACTAGTATTCACCAATGAAGACTCACGATATCGTTTCCCATCGTATCTGCAACCTAATCACTTTTTTAAGAACAAAATTCCTTATTCATTAAAAAAAGCAAAAACAATACGATCTTATTACAGCCCTACATAACTTGAATTTATTATACTATCCCGCCATTTTTCTTGGAGAGACCATCTGTGCGGTATTACGACAAAACTCCAGATGAATGTTTATTAAATAATATAAACAAATCGTGAGTTCGAGATCTTTCGGCAGTTCGGCGACTTCTCTCGAAGTATGAACACATTTCAATAAAATATTCATAATTCATGCTCTTACATAAACGTCTCACGTCTCATTCATTTATTGATCTGGCTTCCAAGAAAACTAACAATGCTATTTTTATTATTCATGTGCACAGAGTTAAACAGAATTAAACGGCAATTGTTTTTTTGTACACTCTCATTACCCCTAGTTATTCTGAAATAAAATAGGAGAATAGGAAGCAGCAACTGAAGATCTACGAGGTCCTGAGTGTTCTTTCAGGATTGAACACAACTCTTAAACAAGTCTGTCGAGATCTCAGACGAGGTGGGGGACATTAAATGAGAGAGTCCAGTTGAGTCAAGCACCGACAATTAACGCAATACAATTAACGAGTAATGACTATCTCTTCTCTTTGGGAAAAACTAAAAATACCCAGTGATGATCGATAATTAAGAGGAAAAATTGTGAAGCAGTATCTCCACAAATTATTCAATATTTATATATTTTTCAAAATTAGCGTCAATGGAAGATCGTCTGGATGAGAAAATACTATTAGGTGGAAATTCCTTGAGCGTTTGAATTAATTAATTCCGAGAAGGTAAAGTAAACAGATGGATACACATTTCAACCATAATAGTCAGTAGCACTCGAGATAAATCGACACAAAGTTTCCAGCAGTCACCAGACAAGAGTAAAGGTTGAATCTCCCTTACGTCTGAATAATTTGCTGGATCCTTCTATCCCTCCAGTACTAGCTTCCAAGTACCCCTTCTCCACTGTTTCAGTCTGTTCAAGTAGTTTGTTGCTAATTTAATAATGCCCTACAATTCTCCAAGACAGACAGGAATGAATAGTCGAAAAAGGGGAGATAGAGGTGGAGGAATGGTCTTGGAATAACTTTACACCAATTGTATATTCAAATTATCATTAATTTGGGGGGGAGTATAAGTTGTTCCGTAATAAAAACAATTATCTTGGAGCCAACGAGTAAGTGCTTACTTCGGATAACCACTATATATTCATTGAATATAAAAAGAAACTTTCAACTCTGAAAAAAGCTCCCACTTACGGCTCCATTCTACGTCTAGTCTCCTCAAGAGACGGGGTAAAAAACTTTTAATTATGATTATTTGGTAAAAGTGTATTAGAGCTACTTCCATTTCCAACTTATTCCGTTCCACAAGTTTTTTATTTTGAGGTATTTCCTAAGGGAAGTAGACATCCTTAGTGTCCGAACTGAGCAGCTATTAATGAATTTAACCTCTTTGAATCATCTCATTTATTTTTGGGAATGCTCATGTATACTAATGTCAGCATAAGTTTTTACTTCTCTGGGTACCCCCACTCCACGTAGTTACCACTTGTAACCATGTCCCCCACTCCTAAAATCAATGTTAAAACTTATGCTGACTTCAGTATAGGTGTGAGCTACAATAACTCTAATCTGAGTTTGGTGGCATTGGAGAGACTAGTCCGACCATCTGCGTACTTAATCCAATCATGTAGGTGTACGGGTACCCTCTACTTTCCTTCAACAAGCAGTTAATTTTCAATTGATTAAATAATATTATGAGGTATTTACAAAAATTCAACGCGTGGTGAAGCACTTTTTTGAGAAGTTTCAAGCCTCACCGGCACTTAGCAGAACCTGGGGTTCGCGACGGGGACGCGGCTAGTATGAACCCCGCCACAGGTCACCTTGGACCGGTCTCCCTCCAGGTATATACCTAATTGAGTGCGACTCCTTTTTCATTCTTCCCTGTGCTTTTGATAATTATTCATATGAATAATAACTCGGCAAAATTGTAAATTAGATGGAGTGGTCTATTATATTATTTTTTCAATTTCAGACTAGTGATTTATAAGTATTCGAATATTTCCACGGAGGATGTATTAATAATAATACCACTTACTATGAAAGGGACATTATTAAAAATGCTGTAAGTTCAGGTTGATAAATCAAGCCAATTTATCCGTGGAATTAAATTTAATATTCCATCGCGTGATCATATTGCATGAATCAATACTTACTCGGAACAAATTAAATCAATCAATAAATTTAAAAAATAGATGAAAACTAAAATCTTCATGGGGTTAAAAAGATAGCTAATGAACACCTGTGAATGTAATATGATATTTTGCCTATCGCGATAACACTTTTTTTTTCCTCTCATTTTTCGTCTCGAATTCTAATTAAAGTTGACCGACGCAAAGTTGTACTCATTATCGCTACGGATTCACCTTTTTTGGTATGTACCCAAATAAATCTCAGCGAGCTCTAACTCTCATGCTGTCAGGATTTTTTCTTGTTTTCACACAGCAAAAATCCATCTGAGCTGCGTTCAATAATTAAAAAAAAAAGAAGCAGCTGGCCGAGCTTATTTGGCAGGAGACATTTAATCATTACTTTATGGGCGAGTTTTTTTCGCATTTTTCATTTCACCCAATACAATTGGTAGTAAGCTCCCAAATGGATCCGACAACGATTTTTTCAAAAAATAAGTTGATAGGTTGATTTCCAGAAATCAGAGAGCGGGTACAACGAATTTGCTCCACAAATATAAAAATTGAAATATCTCGAAAACTTTGTAGGAATACATGTATATATATGTATAGTCTGACTGATCTATGTAGAGCACATTGAGACGAACAAAAAAAATGAAATCAGTTAGATAACTTCTCAGATATTTGCAAGAAACTTTTCAGAAACAATCACTGATATTTCGAAAACTACTAGATCGATCGGGTTGAAATTTAGTACAGATCAAGTCCATGTTAGGACCTGTGAACTGAAAAAATTTCAGATTTTTGGGAATTGGTTTATCCATTTATTTTTTTGTTGTCGTAAAAATCGAACGATTGCAATGTTTCAATTCGGCAGTAAAAACTCAAATGACAAAGCCATTAATTCCTTTTCTTTCACAAATTTGCATTGAATAAAAGATTGCTTACTTTAGAGTTTGAGAAACGAATTGATGGAAACGAGATATGTGTTTTTATGGTACTCCCCTTCATAAAAGTTGTAAAGAATTTTTACATTCAATGGGATCTGACCAATTAAAAAACCAGAAGGATAATTAATAACGTGTGAGCACTTGAGACTGTCCTTGAACTTTTATATTGAAAAAAAAAAATGCGTGAGATGAAACGTGGGTGGTTCTGAGGAAAAATCAAGTTGCAAAGGAGAAGAGGAATAAACGCAAAAAAGTTACACCCGTGTGAGGCCTTGCCATTACCAGGACGGCTTTTTTGCTTTTTTAGGCTGACTCCAATGAATGGACCGGAACAGGTTCTGAATCTTATGCAATAATAAATGATCATTATAACGCTCTTCTTGCGCCTACCCTTCTAACTGCACATAGAATGTATCTTCTGATTTCTGTACGAAAAGTCATTCTAGTCTAATCCCAATACTTTTCAATCTGCCCAAATAGAACTTGCCATCAATAATTTAATTCACGGTTTTCGGTTATTCCTCGACAGCCATGACATTGCCAATCACTTATCCCAAAAGAAAACTTTGGCATTAAATAACGCGATAGTCCAGTGGCTAGGGCACAGGATTAGTACTCGTAAGGTCCCCGGTTCGATCCCCAGTGTCGGCAAAAATAATTGGTTTTTTTCAGCATTAATTATGGTAGGTACTCATTGATAGAAAAAAAAATGATCAATCCTAACGCCGGCATGACACAACTCAGTCACTGCGATAAAAATCGTATCATCATTCTGCTATTAGATTAAGAAAAAAAAGGATTACTCGCCTGGTTTTATTTGGTGAGGTCGTCCAGTTATCTCCAACACCCCAAACAGAACATAATACAGAAAGATAATACATAGTACAATCTTCATTCTACTATTTTTTTTTTCTCCCAAATCTCACTACAACTTGTCCACAAAAGAGGAAGAAAATGGCAGTTCTATTGATTTTCCAAAGACATCTGTTTAATGTAAATTCCTTCTTGTCGCTCTATCTTCAATATTTGTCAAAGAAAATTGTTTTATAATTCGAAATGATGTGGAGGTTTATTCCCCTGCGTCTTTCACCTGACTCGTGCCACAGTCAACTCTTCTTGTATTTCTTCTATCCTTTTACCACTACCTCCTTCACTCGGCTTTTAACAAACCCCTCCCTTATGTACTTCAGCTTTACAGTGCCAATCATAAAGAACAAACGTGTGTACATCGATTGATCATCCTTGGATATTCAATTTGTTCATTAAATAATTCCACTAATTATTGAATCAGAAGGGTCAGTCACCCTTTCGAATTTTTTCTCATTTTTTCTCTCATATCTTTCGTTGAATAATTAATAAATTTTTTGAAACATGAGCTTAATATAAACTATATTAATTAGGGATGTTCGTGTTAGGTGTTCTCGAAAATATTTGAATAGGTGGTTTTTGGAATTTAGTATAGTACTACTAGCGAGATAAATGAATAATTGTTGATGAGAATAAAGGATTTACCATGGAGGCAGTGAGTAACTACTCACTACTTTCCCTTGTAATTAACGGAACATCAGCTGCAGGAAAAATAAAACCACAAGAAGGCACTACATATACAGGAAAGAAGGGAGAAAAAGGGAAGGGATCTGAACAGACAGACCAAGAGAAATAAAATGAAAGAAAATTCAATGAGTAAACTCACTTACAGAGGCAATGAAGTTTTATTCGATTTACCTGAAATTCTAGGAATTATTGTGAATTATTGAATATATAAGGCTAGGTGGTGTAATATTAACGCAGTACAAGAGGACTAATTTCACTGGAATTGTCAAGGAAAATGTTTCTTACATGACTTCAAGTGGATAGAGAGGACACACGTTATATGCTCTCGGTATGGAATAAGAAAGGAGAAGAAGACTAGGAGGGAAATATACAACGCTGGATGTGTACATTTCTTCAGGAAGTTCTTCCCAGGTTCGAGAAGAAGAGTCTTATCAATGTTTCATGAGACGCACGTATGGCGACGGCTAGATGAAAGGCTCGACTCTCTATATTTTTTTCTTTATTTATTTTCTTCTATTTTTATTTTTTCCTTCCCCTTCATTGCCATTTTTATTGTATTTTATGAGGGAAAAATCCCGAAGGAAGGAAGCAATCAACTTCGGCGAGTATATTTTATCCAAAAGTTATTCATGCCCTAGGTAAATCACTGAATTATTAATAATTATAGCGCAGAGGAGACAGACAAATAGGAAGATTAAATACTTTTTATAATTAATGTGTAATTATTTTTTTAACTGTTGTCGCCTCGTTTCGCCCTTTCCTTGTAAAATAAATTAATACAACTGGATATTTTTGTTTTCCACTCAATGTCGCATCATAAATTCTGTTTCAGCAGTCCCGTTTACTCTTTAATAACTTGTTGTGTACATTTTGACTGCGGTATATATTTATATTTACCCCAGTGGCCCGTGGCCAACCCCTTCGTGCAGCCATTCAGCAAGCAAAGCATTTATTTTCTTTCTGTCATTTCTACGAGGATGAAGATGAAGAAAATAATCGATGGAACCCATTGTTTTGGTAAATATTGGAATATCGAGGGACTGTTGCTGCCGGTAGGGAGAATAGACCAGAAAAAATGGGTGGCGGAAAAAATATCCCCGGAAAAAATATCCCGGAAAAAAAATCCCGGAAAAAATATCCCCGGAAAAAAAGGCGAAGCCCCCTCCCACTCCTCACATACCACATTAAATGAAAATTTGAGAAAAGAAAAGATGATTTTAATTTCATGGGGAATCGAACCCTTAACCCTTTTATATGTCATAATAAATAAAGAAATTTTTTTCTAAAATGCATTTTGTAAATTATTAAAATTAGGATTTTTAAATATTTATTATTA